TGTCAATATGTTCTCATGCAGCACCACGGTCTGTGGTGAAGTCTCAGAATACAAATAGAACAGTATTCAGTCACAGAAGCAGCTAAAAGGATAGGTTTTAGCACAGAGAGCTAAGCTACATTCAAGCTGAAAAGCAATTAAATCCTGCTTCATGATTCTCTGATGCCGTAAGTTGCCAAATGTCCCTGTTAATGGTCCCACCTGTCGACACACCCCGTGAAATCCCCAGCAAGAGAACAGGGAATGGGATAAAGCAATTCAAGCTGATCTGAATTACATTCCATGCCCTCGTCAAAGGTGGATACCTACCAAGTCAGCATTGCTCACATTTTTGTCTGCATATGATGCTACTTCTAGATAGCATATGATCTGTAGCTCACCATTCTAGTTCTATTTTTGGAAGACAGCTGCAAAGGAGACTAAAGTAGCATAGCTGGGTTGCAGGCAACTTGCCAAACTATTTGATCTGGCCTCCTACTCCTTACCTTACTTGTTGGCATAGATCTTCCACGCTTACGAGCATCCTCAAGTTAGCAGCAATACCCAGTTATAGTTTCTCAAAACTGCAGATCTTATGCTGTCCTTTTCATGGATAACTAACCAGCAATCACATTCCAAAATAAGGGCAACCTCTAGCGTGTCTAATTTCAGAGTCATGCATAACAAAGGAGATTACATTGCTGAAAAGAAAGTAAGTTGTAAGAGCAACAGAGATGAATTTCGCTGAAGGTGTGCATGGAGAAATACCATAATCTAATAATGTCCTCCATAAACAAGTACTTTATTTTGTCCTGAATTTTCCATGACTCAGCTTCAGGATGACTGTGGATTCTAGCCTGCTGAGAGACAAAAACCTTCCAATCCTTTCTTAACACCATGCATACTTTTATAACACTCTTCTGTCTTGCTTACCTCCTCCTTATTCACCTTTCCTCCAAAGCCTATAAGTCCAAAATATTGTAATCTTTCCTATTAGTGCTCTTCAACCTTTTAACATCCTGGTTGCCCCTTCCCCTTCCTCCAGATGAAAGCTAGATATACATATTTTTTAAACCCAGTGGAGGTAATCACTTTTCATTTCAGTTGAGACTATGTTGACACAGCACTTGTTTTAAGATGCTCAGATCAGAACCCTGAGAACTCCAATTGTGGCAACATTTTGGTCCAGTGGAGGTAATCACTTTTCATTTCAGTAGAGACTATATTGACACAGCACTTGTTCTAAGATGCTCAGATCAGATCCCTGTTCAATATGTTCATACAGAGAACTCCAATTGTGGCAGCATTTTGGCAAGGTGCCAATCATGTGCCTATTTGCACATGGTCAGCACCTCCTTAGATCACCACATCTTCCATACAGGAATTGTTGCAAGGACAAGTGGTGGAGTGCATGTTTTTTGGTTACTGCAGCAAAATGTTGTTATATGATCTAGCACATGGATGGGCACCTCTGCCTTGTGGGTGAATTTCACCAGCCTCTTCACCAATGCCCAGTGTCTAGAAGTGATTTTGGAGGACTGCAACTCCCAGAACCAACCAAAGTCAGCAAAAACTTCTAGCAATGAATGGCTAGTAGTGGGAGAAACCAGTGTTGTTTCTTCAGACTCCAGTTTAAATTTTGTTTTTCCAAACTGGGGAACACTAAACAGGAATTTGTTCTCAAAATTACACTTAAAAATGAGCACCAGGTAGTTCATCTATCATGGACAGATGAATTATATTGTACATCATGCAAGTTGCTTTTAAAAATCTTATTCCACCTCTCCTCTCATGTTCACCACTCCACCAACCACACTCCACACAGTTTACAATCCCTTAGCATTCCTATGGCAACCGCAGCAGCTGTTTACATGGCAACGCAACAGGAAAATATTTAATGTATTTTTAACTCCCTTTTAATGGAATTTAGCAGCTGGATACACAACTGAGAGCCAGCCCCACACAATTAGGACAGCTAGTTTTTTCCTCAGCTCTCAGTACATTCTTTGGGAAGCAAAGGACATAAATCAGGAGCAACGGCAGTGTGGAAATTCTTGGAATATGCCAGCATTCACACACAGGACATACTATGATCCCAGCCCTACTTCCCTACCATCTGGCTTACAAAACTGTGTATAGATCCCTACTTAAAAGATACATCTGAACCAACTCTAGACTGATGGGTTTGTTAAAATCACACCCCACCTTTTCTCCAGTGTACTCATGGCATCGTATGTGGCTCTGCTCCCCCCTCCCCTTCTTTCACAACAGCCCTGTGAGGGGATCCAGCTCGAAGTGTGTAACTAGTCCCAGATCACTCCAAGAATTTTATGGCTCTCTGGGGCCTGGAACAAGATATCCCAAATCCCACTCTAGCACTTTAATTGCTATACAGTACCGGCTGCCATAGCAGTCACAGCAAAATGTGGCCAATACCTACATACATCTCTCTTATGTGATTTCTAGGCCTGATGTGACCCATGAAAAATGTTGGAAGTAATTCTATGGAACCAAGCCCTCCAAAGTAGCTCACTTCTGTCTTAGCACATTTCCAATGTTTACTTCCCAAAACTCTTGTAAGGTATTTCCTCTAATTCCCAGAAAATTGTTAAAGGGATACTCTTAAACCCATGTTTCACAAGCCCATGTTTCACGGAGGAACTAATATAAGGAATCCAAATGTCTTCTCCAAAAGTTTACAAAAGGAGAACTTGATTGATTATTTCAGGCTCAGACTGACTGTGCATGCTGAGTGATGGCGATGATAGTAAACTTTCAAGATTAAAACAGATGCAATGCTAGAGAACAGTGACAGGTTTCCTGATGAGATTTCTTTTTCTTTAAATAGCTTCCCCCCCCCTCAAAAAAAAAACAGGGGGGCAGTGTTCCTGACCAAATTTCATCCTCAGGAGCTTTACTCTGGGTGGCAACACCACTGTTTAGTATCACCCCTAGGGCTTCCCAAATGTCGTATTTTGGGACTGTCATTGTAGACTGTGGCGTGTGATGTTGGCTGGATCAAGTACACAATTGTGTCATTTTTTTCAGCAGCAGATTGTGCTGTGAGGTTTTTGATGATTGAGTGGAGTGTCTTAAAGGACCAGTAACCCTCTACTACACACTTTTGCCAGTTACAGATGCCTATAATGCAACTTCTCTGCAATCTGTGAGAATTGTGCTGTGTCAAGGCCCACTGGGCCTCCAATTTCCCAAAAGATTTATTTCTCTATGAAAAAAATTCGATTTTTCTCTCTTATTTTCAGGATCTTTTAGAATTTTTCTTCATGTTACTTTTGAGCTTACACTACCATTGCAAAGTGGCTGAGAATGATACATTTGGTTTTGGTCTTCTATTACTGCACATACATACTCTGTAGCTTCCCAGGCTGACATGTGGGGAAAAACCCTGAAAAATAAAAACTGTGTTACCTTATGACTCTTTCCCCTGGAGTTTCAACTGAAGTCAGGGGACCTAGGGAGGTTGCTAATAGGCAAAATGAGAGACAGATGTCACCTGCTAATTAAGGTAAGAACAAGAATCTGACATTGACTCATGAACATTGATTGAAAGTCTTCCAAAGCAATTTGTTTCCCTATCAAACTGAAAGTGGTTGAAATTCTGATGTGGAAAATGTTATGCACGATATAATAGTCTATGCCTTATGGCAGGGGCTGGGGACCTATGTTATTATCAGACTGTAATTGCCACTGTCCCTCACCACTGGTTATCCTGGCTAAAGCTGATGGGAGTTGCAGTCAAACATCTGGAGCACCACACATCTCTCCACCCCTGGCCTAGGTCATCTGGGGAGGGTGCAAATGTGCCCTAGATCATCTGGGAAGTATATATATATGAAAATNCTTGATATGGATTTTGAAGTGAATGTGTAATTAAACATTTGCAGTATATAGTTTTTATATATACATATATAATTTTAAAAAATCATCACATGTCCACTCTAGACTCCACATTACAAGCACAATACAAGGAGTATAAACCTCGGGGAGCCCAGTTACCCCAGAAAAATATGGAGCTAGGCATTCATAAAGAAATCGAGAAAGCGAAACCATTGCTAAATAATAATTTCCAGAGGAATAGCTCTGTCAGCATGTTAACAATATTAAACGGAAAAGAGAAAAGCAGTGGATTTTGAGGGGGGGGGGGGAAATCTGATATATTTTCTGAAAGAAATCTGCTCCAATATGTTGCTCTTCCCTCCTCTTCCTTTCTTCTCCTGTAACCTCGCTGAACGGACGGGAAGTGCAGCCCACACTTTTGAGACATTCACTTCCCCCACTCCCATTCAACAAGTCTTGCAGGCGATGAAGCCTCCAAGGGAAAAAGTCCAATATACTAGTTTCCCCCAACTCCCAGTCAAGTTCAACATCGCAGTTATATAAAATCCTTGATATGGATTTTGAAGTGAATGTGTAATTAAACATTTGCAGTATATAGTTTTTATATATACATATATAATTTTAAAAAATCATCACATGTCCACTCTAGACTCCACGTTACAAGCACAAAACAAGGAGTATAAACCTCGGGGAGCCCAGTTACCCCAGATAGATATGGAGCTAGGCATTCATAAAGAAATCGAGAAAGCGAAACCTTTGCTAAATAATAATTTCAGAGGAATACCTCTGTCAGCATGTTAACAATATTAAACGGAAAAGAGAAAAGCAGTGGATTTTGAGGGGGGGGGCGGAAATCTGATATATTTTCTGAAAGAAATCTGCTCCAATATGTTGCTCTTCCCTCCTCTTCCTTTCTTCTCCTGTAACCTCGCTGAACGGACGGGAAGTGCAGCCCACACTTTTGAGACATTCACTTCCCCCACTCCCATTCAACAAGTCTTGCAGGCGATGAAGCCTCCAAGGGAAAAAGTCCAATATACTAGTTTCCCCCAACTCCCAGTCAAGTTCAACATCGCAATTAGCGAGGCAGCCAATCAGCTTGCTGCACTACCGGCAACCCCACCCATAGCTATTTCAATTTCGGCGCCGCGACTGGGACAGCGCGCTCGATTACCGCCCGCGCGCAAAAGACACGCCCCTTCGACTTCCTGGTTCTTCCACCCCGGTAGTACGCATGCGTTCGCGCATGCGCAAACAATAAAATAAAAAATAGTAAAACTTTAAAAAAAAGGGAAATCCACGCGGAACGGGAAAAGTGTTTTATTGTTCTTTTCCTCGTCTACGGACATGAGAGGAACCGGCAGCTTGCTGAGAACTGGCTCGCGCAGGTAGCTTTCCTACTCCGCTGGCAACTTGGGAGAGGTGAGTCCGGTGGAAACCACCGCTTTAGTTGCATCCACACACCCCTTTTGTGCACCTGGCTTCCAGCGTGGGGAGGTAGAATACAAAGATGGCATCGGTTGTTATGGAGACCATACAGTACATACTTCTGGGGGACTACGAGGAAGGGTTGTGTGAGGCCTCTGGATCCTCGTTTTAAGTGTGGCCTCCAGGAAGGCATGTTGACCTTTAATAGCTAAGCAGCCCAAATGCTCCCCGTGTTTGATATGTCACGCACCCCCCACACCATTCGTGTAAAAATTTGTGTTTTGAGAGGCTACTGATGGCCTCTCGTGTTCCCACCTTTTTCATGATAGGGTTCGTTGGCCTTTAAGCATTTGTGGTGGTGGTGGGGGAATACTTCAAAGCTCTCACAAAGCTTTTAATTAAGCATTTAATTCCATTAGCTGCTAAAAGTAAGAGGATGCTCTCGACCCACAGCAGAGGAACCAAGGTGTAATTGGAGAGTTTGGGGTTGCTGACGTCACTTAGTAAGTTGTCTTCTTCCCTGACACAGTGGAGTGTAACAGTTTCTTCATAAGCTTTGCAGTCAGTAAATTCCGAGTCTGGGGTGTTTCAACACATTAGCACAGCCAGCATTGTGAGGAAAGGAGTTATTTGGGATTTGTTTCTGTCAATTGTTTTTTCCCCCAGTACGTCCTGAGGAAAGGTTCCTTCTCCACTTTTCATAGAAGAAGCAAAAATGAAGACCCTGCGTAGTTTTAGTTTGTTGTTATGGGCTGTGAAATCATTTCTGATTTATGGCAGTTCTAATCAGGTTTTCAAGGTATGTGAGGCATTCGAGGAATGGTTTACCCTTACCATTGCTAGTATATTTCCATGGCCAAGCAGGGAATCCAAGCCTTCTAGTCTAACACTCTGCATTATCCTAGTGTCAGTTTTGGTACTGCTTGGTATTTGATGGCATCAATAGGTCATTTTGAAGTAAATTGTGACTTTAAAACCCAATTGAAAACATGGTTATTCATTCAGGCCTTCCCTCCAGCCAACTCTTGATTTTTTATTTTTTTCCTTACTTTTCCCTATCCTTTATTTCATTGTAGTTATTACTGAATTATTATGTATTTACCTGTGTTTTATTGCCTGATTTTGTATTGGAAGCCGCCTAGAGTTGTCTGATAATCCAGATAGGCGGGGTATAAATCAAATCAAATAAATAAATAAATAAATAAATAGTAGAAGATTTTTCTTTTATAGATCTGTTCTAGGATCCACATTACTGACAAAGCAGCCTGTATACACAGGAGGTTGAGGAAGAACATAGTCTGATCTAGCACTCATCTCCTGGACTATTTTTAAAGACCTGGACAAGTTGAGTAATACGTGTGTCTTCCCTGCTCCCTTTAGTAACCACAACATAATCCCATATATCTCAGGTTAAGGCCTTCTAAGTGGTCTTAGTTTTTGAGGGAAATGGAATCTTGAGAATCAAATCCTGTCCTCATAACCTTTGGGAGCAGGTTTTCTGTATCTTACTTTTCCCCAGCTGTGAGGCATTTACTCAATATCTGGACAAAAGTTTACACTTTGCTGTTTGTGGTAGGAAATTGTGCAGCTAATAAATCCACTGAAGGAGTGGGATTAGTAAACCTCACTGGTTGACTAGTTGAACTAACAAGTTGATTTTAGCTCCTTAAGAAGTGTGTGAAGTAATTAATACCTATTCCACTGTGGTAGGGTTATTCCTTAATTTTCATTTTCCTTTTTCAAAGAAAGGAAAAAGTGATGCCATCCTACTAGAATGCAGCCATATTTTTATTCTTGGGTACTTGTGAACACTTTAAGCCTAAATGCTCTTCATCTGTTTTGGCCAATATGAAAAGAGATATGCAGTAGCTTCTTGTGCTAACAGGCCGACTTACACTTTGCACAATGGCCTGCAAGAGGCTGTATGGAGACACTCCCTCCATTTTGTTAAACAAGATTCTGGATTTAGTAACAAGGCAAAACTATACATAATCACTCAGAAGTAAAGTCCTGTTCCCTGGGGGCTTGCTCCTAAGTTAGTGGATACAGGAAGTTAGTGTAACAGACCTTAGCAAGCTTCTGCTTCTTTTAAACTGAAGCTGTATTGAGCAGATGTAGTAAGAAAAGAGTAACAGAACAAAAATAGAGGTAGCAGTACTTGTAGTTGGATGCAAGAAGTCTGGCTGCACTGTTAACCTCCTTTCTTGGTATACTGCTACATATACCTGAAGACTGGGAACAGGAAATAGGTGGCTATTTAGATATTGTTGGATTTCAGTTACCACGATCTCTTGATACAGGCTATCATAACTAAGGCTGATGGGTGTTGCAGTCCAGTAGCTTCCGAAGAACTGCACACACCATGCTCTTGCTATAGAATAGATCATATTAATATGAAAAAGCTATTGTTGGTTAGTCCAGACATCAACCAGTCTTGGGCACAAACTTCGGTTTGGTGGTTCATGCCAATTCATATGCACAACACTACAGATGCCATACATTCCTGTCTCCCTGGCCAATGACCCACTCATCAGTCAGAGCCCACTCCTCTCCTCCTCGTCTTTGGCTGTTCAACCAGTTTCTGTCAAGAGCATGGGCTTCCCTGCCCCGCCTCCTTGGCTGATCGCGCACTCAGACAAGGAGGCAGGGCAGGCAAACCCGTGCTCCTGCCGGGGATTGGTTGAACAGCTGGAGAGGAGTGCGCTCCAACTGGCAAGTGGGTCATTGGCTAGGGAGGAGGAGGAAGGGAACTGAGCTTCATGCCTCAATGAATTAAAGTAGCATAGTACTATAATTGCTCATAAGAGGCTGAGAGAATAGTGGCATGCTGAAGGCTTTGATTTAAGGATTTCTTAATTCACTCTATTAGTTGTGCTACGCTAGGAGTAGACGTGGTGGCTCTGCGGGTTAAACCACAGAAGCCTCTGTGCTGTAAAGTCTGTAGACCTTCAGCTGTAAGATCAAATCCATGTGACAGAGTGAGTGCTCGTTGCTTGTCCCAGCTCCCGCCAACCTAGCAGTTTGAAAGCATGCGAATGCGAGTAGATAAATAGGGACCACCTCGGTGGGAAGGTAACAGCGTTCCGTGTCTTAAGTTGCACTGGCCATGTGACCACGGAAGATTGTCTTCGGACAAACACTGGCTTTATGTCTTGGAAATGGGGATGAGCACCGTGCCCTAGAGTCGGACACGACTGGACAAAAATTGTCAAGGGGAACCTTTACCTAGGAGTAGACAGCTTGTCAACTCTCCAGATGCTAGACTGGAACTCCCACCATCCTTCATATGGAACAATATCTGGAGGTTGAAAATTTGCCCAGACTTACCATATGCAGTATTTGCCTTGATATACAGCATTTCTCATAAGTGGTACAGTATTTGGTTATCTGCTGCATGCAAGTTGATTTCCTGGTCTGTACCCACTTAATGATAATAAAATAAAGGTGATAAAATGAAAAGTCATGAAGGCTGGCAAAAAGTTATTTGCATAGGCCTCAGTTGAGATCCATGCAGAAAATGATGTGTTACAGCTCAATGAATATACCTACATTCCTTATAAAAATGCAGGAAATTATTTATTTATTTAATTCAACTTGTATCCCCCCACTGTACCCAAAGGTCTCTGGGCTGCTTACAGTTTAAAATTTAGCCATGACGCTATCAACTCTTTCAATGACTTCCATAATGCTTTCTGTTGTGTGCTTTTTATGGTCTTAGGCCGATTCCGTTGTTCCATTTTGTAATGCTCCTCTAATTGGTATGCAAGGCCTTTAAATAAAAATCTTACATTTTAGGTAAGAAATTAGAAGACAGCAAGACCTGAACTGAGAACTGTGATCATTTTATTGAAGCAAAAAGTATAGTGAAAAGGAGAAAGAATGCCGACGGCAAAAGTTTTGACACCTGTACTAAAAATGAAAGTAGATGAACTCTTTTTGTGCTGGTTAAGTGAACCTGCAACACAGGTGATGCTGAAGAATTATTTAAGAAGTATAACTAATAAGGAGAAGATTGAAATTGGTAATGGTGATCCTGGAAGCAATGCACATATTCTTACACAGATAAACTCTGTCTCGAAACAAAGCATGTTGGGCAATCTGATGTCTGCTCCAACTCCAACAAGCCCTCTTTCTACTCCTCTCCCACATGGGACACCAACAAGCCCAAGGAACTTCTCTAGTATTAGAGGAACACGTAGATCTTCAAGCACTAAAAATGTATGTATTTTTTATTATTTTGTCAGCTGTCTGATTACTTACTCAGCAACTAAAGCATGTATTTTTCCTTTATAGCACTAACCAATTTTGGTGGTTTTGTACACAACTTCATAGATAATGTAAAGATCCATTTTATCCACTGTGAATATATCATGGCCTTTCTCTGCCATTCTCAACAGAGGCCATGGCACATTAGAAAGGGGCTACAAACTGGAGGCAGTGGAAGACAGGAGGGCCTGGCATGCTCTGGTCCATGGGGTCACGAAGAGTTGGACACGACTTAATGACTATACAACAACACAAACTGGAAACAATTTTCAGCAGGGGCCATATGCAACCGATACAATCCTGATTCAGCCTATATTTCTTTCACATTGCATTCATGGTCGTGGCAAAAAAAAAGGTTGAAAATGGTTGCTCTAGTTCATATTAACATCTCACCTAAAATACACTTCATAGTAGCCTATAGATGTCAGAATGAATTTGACACAACTCCAGGAGGCAGTGGAAGATAGGAGAGCCTGGCATGCTCTGGTCCATGGGGTCACGAAGAGTCGGGCACGACTTAACGACTAAACAACGACGATAGATGTCAGAGTGCACAAAAATCTATTTGCTGTTGTCAATAACATTATTTGATGAATGGGAAATGCAAACACCTTCACACTAAAACAGATGTTGTTTGGGAAAAATAGTTCTTAGAAGAATTCGTTTCTACCATACAGTAATTGATTTTTGTGCCATTAATTCTAATCATGTTAGCCCAATTCACCTGTAAAGTGTATTTTTTGAAGCACTTCTATTCTTATGTGGAATATAAAACACATAAATGTGCAGATTGTTAAACAATAAAAATTACCAAATCGGGATGGGGATGTTGTGGACATCACCTCCTGGAACCTGACTCAGGATAGCCAGTGGTAATGGATTGTAGCATTTGTAGTCCAAAATATCTGGGAGGACCAAAGGGAAAATTCATCACCAAATGCTCACTCCTATAACTTGCTGTGTGAATAAGTTGTCCATTTTAGAGATGCCACTATAATATGAAAAAGAAGGAAACGGCTAATGTTTGAGTAAGATGTTGCCTGTATAGTTTACACTTTTCATAGTGGGCACCATACAGATAATTTGACACCCATGTGGGCTACTGAAACTGAATGTGTTCCACTTGTGGAAAGAGTTATATTGTACCTGGTTTCCTAGTCGTAACAGTCTACTTGAGCTTCAGGGTTGTTGTTGTTGTGGTTGTACTAGAGCGGGATGCTGGCAGCTGTGGTAATATTGAGAATGCCATGAAGCTGATACCATTTCCTTAGTTTTTTCAAATATGAGCTACATTTATTTATTTTATTTATTTATTCTATTTATATCCTGCCTATCTGGTCAATATGACCCACTTATTTTTTGTACTTGTCAGCACTGTTTTCCCTGCATGGTACCTTGGATCAGCTGTTAATGTTCCCCCTCCTTAGTGAATAGCATACCAGATATCATTGATGATACAGAACCTCAGACATGGCTTCATTAATGGCTTCTATTTTAATGAAAGCACTTTGCTTTTTGGGTCTTCTGCTATTCATCAAGGTCTCTTAAATACTGGGGAATACTGATTTTGAAGATTAGTCAGACTTTGTTCTGTTTTATTACCTTGGGCCTTGTTTCTAAATGTAGTTACACTTGTAAAAATAATTACAGTACATTGAGAAATTTCCTCCTGTAGTGGTCTTTGAAGCATGAATTGTGTTGTTTTCATGTTTTTTTTAAAGTTCCACTTGTAAAAGAGCAGTGCTCTGCATTAAAAGATAATAACCAATTTCAAACTGTCATTCTCCTTCCTAGAAGAAACTTAATATTAAAATTTTAACTCACATTATCTTATTAGTCTCCAAATGAGACTAGTAATTTGGAAAGTGAGGGTTAGAATATAAATTCTGTATATAGCACCTATCCTAAGCTCCTAGGAACTTGCTTTTCATGTCTTGTATCATCTTGTATCAATGATTAGGATAGATGCATAGGGAACATCTGACAGAAGAGACTGTCCCAGAGTTAATGAACTTTTAGGCTTGGGGCAAAAAACCAAAACAAGGAATCAAAAAACTCTGCAATGGTTATTTTGCAGTTACGCATATAAATACTGTGTTCATGTTTTGTTTAGAATTTCTTTGATGATAAAACATAAAGAGTTGTGGCAAAGGAAAGAATGGTTTGCAGGCAGGACAGAACAAAAGACAAATAGTTGATTGCAATATAATACAGTATATGTTTGAAAGATGCAACACCAGTTTTAGTACATTAAGCTGTGTCATTTAGTCTTCACTGAAAGCTGCAAGGCTGTGCATTCTCTGACTCCATGTTGATTAGCATCTTGTTTAGCTCTGGCATGTAGACATTTGAGTAGAGCTGATTTTTTTTTCCTCTCTGATTTCTACTCTGAAAAATAGAAGTAGAATTATTTTTGTCTATGGGTTTGGCTACCTAGGTATTATACGCTGAGAAACTAAATATAGACACTAACTGTAGTGTGTGATATAATTGTCTACCATGTGTTCAGTCATCTGTATGGTAACAGATAATCGTAAATTTTTCTACCACATGTACCTGGACTAACTACCTGGGCATTTACCAAGCAGTAAGCTTTCTTATATTTTCAATATTATTGGATGGTTGTTGTCTCTTCATGGTCATGCTGAACAATAAAGATATTATTAAGAGCTATAGTGCAATTCCAAGTTATTAAGATTTGAGGAGAGAGTGCTGACACAGGAAAGTTATTTTGAGTGAACTGTTAAAATTAAATATAAGATGTTGTTACAGGCTGTCAAGTCGCACCCAACTTATGGTGACTCTACAAATGAGTGATCTGTGAAATACCCATTCCTCAGTAGCCCTGTTCAGCTCATATACGGACTAATGAGCCATAAATAAGTTACGTTCAAAGAGAAGGCCTCATTCCACTGTTCTGATGCCTATGGGAGTGCATTCCTTTTTTGTGAGTAAAGCTCATGTAAACAGTTGTCTTCAAGGACAAGCATAAAATGTGTCCTGGTAATCATCTTGCTAAACATAGATCTTCTAGAAATATAAGTTTGTTAGCACTGTTCTCCATGCAGAACCAAACAAGCAGAAACACTACCATATGCTCAAAGGATATAGAGAATTCCTTTCATGTGGAATGCTATCAGGAGTAGCACCTCCCATAGGAAATGGGGACCAAAATCCCCTTTTGTAAATTCAAAACCCTCAGGTTTTGAAGCTTTTTCAGGATCCCTTTTGATCTGTTGAAGCCTTTGAGAGCCTTGGGAGGAAGGGGAGCATTTGATGCCCAAATATTGCCACCAACAGTCATGATCCTAGCAGTGGACCTGGGAGTGGTGATTTTCCATCCATCTCATGTTTCTGATGGTATCCTATCTGTTCCTGATGATTGATTTCTATCAATTACTTTGAGAGAAGTTTTCACTTCAATTTCTAAAACTGCAGGTTTCATCAACAGTTGAAGCTGTTGTTTTTGCTTCTCCTCTGTGTATTTCTTCTGTACATTGCTTCTACCTTGTCTCCATTTTATCCTGATCAAAAGTATGTTCCCTTATTGATCTTCCATAATATTTCTTAGATCTTATGAAAATACCATTTTCCTTTATGGTTGTGTGTTCTCTGCCTGTCTCTCTCTCCCAGATATAATTGTTATTCGCTTTGTCCCTACCATACTTGCAAGTCATTGAAAAGTTGCATTTAGGATGCTATTTCTTTGTTATCTTTCTTTCTTTTGCTTCTTTTTTGTCTTTTGAAGAATCCCTTCAATCATCCATCAAGGCCTTGCTTTTCTTTTGGCTATAGTAATAGGGTTTTTTGTTGTTGTTTTTCCCCATTCTTCTTTCATCGTATCTCAATTTCAGTCCACAGTTCTGCTTGTGGTTTATTGAACTTAATAATGCAAACCTGTTCTTTTTTGTTGTTGTTTAGTCGTTAAGTTGTGTCCAACTCCCAGTCTTTGAATTCTTCTTCAATGTTGTTGCACTTTTCGAGATTAATTCATTATCTGTAGCACAATCTGCTCCTAATCTTGCTTTTGCAGAGGGAAGTTCATAATCTTACTATGTTTCCAATTATACAGTTAGTTCATGTGCACCCTTGTATTGTGATATTCCACATTGATCTAAGTACTTTGTGAATATGTGTAATTTGATGTTTCCTTGTCAGCAGTTTTTTGCTGGTCAATTTCCACCCTTTCATGTTCCCTGAAAGTAGTGGGCAAAGGAGATAGGCAAAAGGGAGTGGTGATCTGTGATGTGTGAGACATCAGGGAGGAGTTCTGAATCTGTGAGGAGAAGTAGTACTGGGATAACTTAGTACATCCGGCAGCAAATACTCTCCCCATGTGTGGACACCAGTACCTGATGCTGTGTGAACATCTGAAACAAAAAAAAATACCAGAATGATGCAGAACAACTCAAGAGATAACACCACTGTGTGGACACACCCTTAGTCTGACATCTCAAACAAGGACAAGAAATCTGTGCTATCACCCAGATATATTTCCTTGTGAATTATCCATCTCTAATAGAGGTGGTGCCATCTAGCAGTAAAAGATTTTCCAGTTCTTTGACACAACTTTTGAAAATGAATTTCTTACAATAAAAAACAAATTTGATTGAAAATTTCCAGAGCTACTGACTGAGGGAGGAAAATTTGTTTCAAGTGCAGATCTGGCAATGAATGGATATTTGATGGTTGTTGTGGGGTTTTTGGGCTGTTTGGCCATGTTCAGCCTGAAAAACCCAGAACAACCATCGGATCCTGGCTGTGAACACAATGCGTATTTGGCCCAGTTGTAAATACTGTTTTTATATACTGTATGTATGTATGTATGTATGTATGTATGTATGTATGTATGTATGTATGTATGTATGTATGTATGTATGTATGTATGTATGCATCCATGCATCCATGCATCCATGCATCCATGCATCCATGCATCCATGCATCCATGTATG